GGGAGGGAGGGAGGGAGGGAGGGAGGGAGGGAGGGAGGGAGGGAAAAAGGAAGGAAGGAGGCAGAAACGCGTGGAGGTGTAGGGAGATGGCTCAGTGTTAGAGCAATTGCCTCAAAAGTGGCAAGAATGAGGAACAGTGTTCCGATAACCAGGACCCACAGAAAGCCAGGTGGGTGTGACAGTTTGCCAGTAATTCCAACATTGGGCAAATGCAGTTAGGGGATTCCCGAGGGCAAACCAGCTATCAGTGAATTCAACCAAGACCCTGCCTCAATAAATAAGGTGGAGGGTAATCAATGAAGACATGTCAGCCTCAGTCTGTCCTACACACACGCACATGCACGCACGCACGCACGCACACATGCACGCACCCACACATGCACACATGCATAGAGACAGAGACACAGAGAAACATCATATACACATAAAAAAGGCAGGGGGAAGGTGGATAATGATTAAGAGGGATACCCAATATCAACTTCTGGTCTCTACATGTGCACACACACACACCACCACCACATATGAACACAAACTCATGTACCACCCACACAAAGACTAAAACTTCATTGGATAGCATTTGGGAGTCAGAGGCAGGAGGATCTCTGAGTTTGGGGCCAGTTTGGTCTATACAGTGAGCTCTAGTCCAGCCAGGGATACATAGTGAGACCCTGTCTCAAAACAAACAGATCTTTATGGAAACCTAACAGATGCTTGGTGGTTAAAAGTACTTGCTGTTCTAGTACAGAGGACCTTGGTTGGGCTCTCAGCACCCACATGGTGGCTTACAACAGACTGTAACTCCAGTTTCTGGGGATCTGATGTCCTCTCCTGACGCTTGCTGGTACCAGGTACGCATGCAGTGAGCAAATATATGTGCAGGTTAACACTCATAGGTACAAAATAAAAATAAATAGTTGAATATGATGGTGCTTGCCTTTAAACCTAGCACTTGGAAGGCTGAGGTAGGTGCATGTAAATCTATGAGTTTGAGGCCAGTCTGGTCTACATAGTGCATTCCAGGACAGGTAGGGATACATAGAGAGACCCTGTCTCAACTAAATAAAAATAAATGAATGAATGAATAAGATCTTAATTAATGAAAATATGGAGAGAGGAAGACACTAGAAGTCCACCAAGCCTACTTTTGATCCCCACCCCCCTACACACAACCACTGACCCTACTGTTCAAATGGTGAAATGGTAGAAATCATCTGAGTTAGTTCCTGCTTGCTAGCTTAGTTTTTTTTTTTTAAAGATTTATTGATTTATCATGTATACAGTGTTCTGCCTGCATGTATCCCTGCACACCTTAACGGGCACCAGATTTCACTGTAGATGGTTGTGAGCCACCATGTGGGTGCTGGGAATTGAACTCAGGACCTCTAGAAGAGCAGCCCGTGCTCTTAACCTCTGAGCCATCTCTCCGGCTTGCTAGCTTAGTTTTTGAGATAGAATCAAGTAATCCAGGCTGCTCTTAATTTGATATATAGTCAAGGTTAGTCTTGAATTCCTTCTCTTTTTAATCCCATCTATGTGTTATAATCCCTAGGTTCTATAGTTGAGGAAACTACCCAGGAAAGAGGACTCAAAGGGACAAGGGGTACCTCTATCCAGGACTCATGTAGAATGGGGGAGGGGCCTCCTTCAAGACCGCTCAGGGGAGCTTAATAGAGTTGCAGCTGATGCCTGAGATTTTTAAGAACCTGGAGTCTGACACACTTCCAGCATCTTGGCTGTGTTCCATGCAAAATCGTTGCGCATATTTTGGGATCAGCAAAAACTCACAGTCTCCTGGCTAAGCAAGCACTTGCGCTCTTCTCGCTGAAGCCCAGGGGCATTGTCTAGGAAATGGAGTCCATCTGTTTAGGATTCATTTGCACTTACCTCTCTTCACCAAGCTGCTTTGCAGCAGCTCTTTGAAGTGAAAGCAGCCTTATTCCATAAGCCTCTGTAAGCCCTTAGTCACCAGTAGGTACTGAGCCTCCCAGAGGCCCGGGCAGCTCCCTCTCTCCCTCTATACACCAGTCAGGGCAACTCTGACCCAGCTTGCAGGGCTCAGGCCCCTCCCCCATCATTCATGCCCCCTGCTCCCTGGACCTGGACATCCGGCATCACTCACAGTTTAAATACCAGGATTTATGGTTCCCTGTGTGTTGCTCTAGCTTCTCAAGGTTGATATCAAGTTCTCCAAGGATGGAGCTGGGTTTCTGAAGTCACTGTACTCCAGCACCCCTGGGTACCACCCCTCATACAAAATTATAGAAGCCATTGTTCCACATCCCAAAAACTATAGGAATGATATAAGAATGCTGAACTCCAAAGGGACAAGGTGGCAGGTTGTTTGAATCTGGAATTGCTGCTCACAGAACTGACAGAATTGAGCCTGTCAGACATGAAGGGAAGAATGGCTCTGCCCTGCCTCCTTGGCCCTGCCACCCAGCCCAGAGCACTGTATGCACGTAGCAAAGCTTCCCTGTTCTATACAACAAGATGAGAAACGCTGACCAATTATCCAAGAGAGCAGAGAGAGCACTAAAGGCAAAAGCAGCTGAGTTCTAGTGGCTCTCTGTGAGGGGCTAGGGTATTTTAGAACATAGCTCTAACTTCACATTGACTTTGATGTCAAACTCGTGCACAAGTAATCCTGCTGGAGGCAGGGTCTTTTTATCTTTCATTTAAAAATATTTTATATTTTTCACTATGTGTGTCTGTGAGAAGTTTGCAAATGAGTTTGTACAACCTGAGGAGGTCAAAGGAGGGCATCAGATCCCTTAGAGGAATGGTTCTCAACACTCCTAATTTTTTGTAAACTTTTATTTATTATGTTTTCCGAGACAGGGTTTCTCTGCGTAGTTTTGGAGCCTGTCCAGGAACTTGCTCTGTAGACCAGGCCTTGAACTCACAGAGGCCCGCCGGCCTCCGTCTACTGAGTGCTGGCATTAAAGGTGCTCACCACCACCGCTTGGTTGGTTCTGACCCTTCCTAATGCTTTAATACAGTTCCTCACATCGTGGTGACCCTCAATCATTACATTATTTTCACTGCTACTTCAGAACTGTAGTTTTGCTGCTATGAAACATAATATAAATATGTGTTTTCAGATGGTCTTAGCTAACTCCTGTGAAAGGGTTGTATGACCCCCAAAGGGGTCTTGACCCACAGGGTGAGAAACAGGTTGAGAGTCTGAGTTACTGGTGTTTGTGAGCTGCCCAACAGTGCTGGGAACTGAACCTCTGCAAAAGCAGTACTTTAAAAAAAAATTTTTATTTTATGTGTATGAGTGTTTCACCTGCATGTATATATGTATACTATGTGTACCTTCAGAGGCCAGAGGAGGGTATTAGATTACTTGAAACTGGAGTTACAGTTATTTATGATCAGTCATGTAGATGCTGAGACCTGAACTCAGGTCTTCCTGCAAGAGCAGCAAGTGCTCTAACCACTGTGCCATCTCTCCAGCCCCCTCAGTTAGAATCTTTTTTCTTTTCTTTCTTTCTTTCTTTTTTTTTTTTCGAGACAGGGTTTCCCTGTGGCTTTGGAGGCTGTCCTGGAACTAGCTTTTGTAGACCACGATGGTCTCGAACTCACAGAGATCCGCCTGCCTCTGCCTCCCGAGTGCTGGGATTAAAGGCATGCGCCACCACTGCCTGGCTAGAATCTTAACAAAGTCTTACTTAGTAAGTCATATTCTGCTTTCACTTCCAAGTTCAGCTTTGGTTTTGTATTTTGTTTTCTTTTTGAGATGGTCTTGTAATGTGGTCTAGAATTCATAAACTCACTAGTTTATACAACAAATAAAACTGGAAGCTACAGTTGATGAGCACACAAAATAAAAGGTACAGAGGCTGATGAAATGGAATCAGGTAAAGGTGCTTGCCATCAAGCCTGACAACCTGAGTTTGATCCCTTGGATGCACAAGCTGGAAGGAAAGAGCTTGCCCAAGTTGTCCTCTGACCTCCATGGGCATGCTGTGGAATGTGCCCCCACTATCAAACAAATAAACTTTAAAGGGATAATAATCAGTGTAAAGACAAGATCGTAAAGTAGACTGCTCAGCAGTTGCCTCTGACAGTAGGTTGTTCTTTTCTGTCTCTCTTTTTTTTTTTTTTTTTTTTGGTTTTTCGAGACAGGGTTTCTCTGTGGCTTTGGAGGCTGTCCTGGAACTCACTCTGTAGACCAGGCTGGCCTCGAACTCACAGAGATCCGCCTGCCTCTGCCTCCCGAGTGCTGGGATTAAAGGCGTGCGCCACCAACACCTGGCTCTTTTCTCTTTTTTTTCAGTTCTATAATTTGTTTCAATTTGTTTTCGTACTGTTTATTAGTGTGTGTGTGTGTGTGTATGTGTGTGTATGTGTGTGTGTCCGTCTCAAATAGTCCAGGCTGGGCTTGAACTGGTTATGCAGCCGAGGCTGACTTTGAACTTCTGATCTATTCACTTCCATCTCCTGAATGCTGCAATTACAGGCATGTACCACTGTGTCCGCCCCTCTTCATCTGAGACAAGTCAAGTGTTTTACCAGTGAACTACCCCAGCTGAGATGCCTGCTTTTGGAAAGTATTCCATATATATGAGTGTCATGTGTGTGCCTGGTACCTGTGGAGGTCAGTGTTCTGACTTCACAAGTGCCCAGATATGACTTTGCCCACCGTCCCCCCACACACAAATAAATAAATGTTGAAAACAACAGTAACAACAGAACCTTTATGAGCTGGGGATACAACTGTGTTGGTAAAGTGCTCCCATAACATCCAGGAAGCCCTAGGTTTGATCCCTCATAAAGATCTGACTTGAGGTACACATCCCAGCATTCATTTGGAGGGTTAGGTAGGAGGATTGCCATGAGTTTGAGGCCAGCCTGGGCTATGCATGAATACCAAGCCATCCAGAAATGCATTAACTATATCTTATCTCAACAAAAGCATTCTCTTTTTGGTGACAGCCCTAATCATGAGATTAGATGTAATCCAAAATTGAAATTTTTGAGGCATATTCAAGAAATCAGGTTAAAAACTTATTTTTATTATCTTTAATTATGTGTGGTACATGCTAATACATGTACCCATGGAACCCAGAGGCATTAAATTCCCTGGAGCTGGAGTTACAGAGGGTTATAAGTCACAATGTGGGTGCTGGGAACCAAACCCAGGTCCTCTGCTTAAACAGCCAATGCTCTTAACTACTAAAGCATTTCTCTAGCTCTTGCTTTATTATCTATCTATCTATCTATCTATCTATCTATCTATCTATCTAAAAAAAAACATCTATAGAGCAAGTTCCAGGACAGCCAGGGCTACCCAGAGAAACCCTGTATCGAAAAAACAAAGCAACAAATAACTTACTATGTGTACTTGAGTGTGTAAGGGTGTGTATGGGTTAGACACCAACTGTGGGAATCCATGTTCTCATTCTACCATGTGGGTCCCAGGGACTGAACTCAGATTAGGCACTGGGTAGGTGCATTATCTGTTTAGCCATCTCACTGGCCCTGGTTCTTTCTTTTCTTTTCTTTTTTTTTTTTTTTTTTTTTTTTTGGAGACAAGGGATCATATAGCCCAGGCTGACCACCTTGCCAGGTTTTATTAGGCAAATACTTTACCAACTGAGCTATACTATACCCACTCCCCCTTTTAAAAAAGATTTATTTCTGTGTATGGAGAGTGTTTGTGTGCACATGTGTCTGCCCTTGGAGGTCAGAAGGTGTGAGGTGCTGGAGTTACAAGCCTCCAGCCATGGGGGCTGAGAACAGAACAACTTGGGTCTTCTCAAAGAGCAGGAAGCACTCTTAACCACAGGGCCATCAATCCATCAATCTACCCCCATGGCTGGCTCAGCCTGAGACAGGTTCTCACTTTGTTGCCCTGGCTGAGCTCTAACTTTTGGCGATCTTCCTGTCCCTGCTTCTGTAGTGTCAGGGTTACAGGTATATGCCACTATATTATCTTGGATGACTCCTAAACCTGTGGAGAAAGACATTTAGGAGATTCAGATCTTTTCTTTAGAAACTGTTTTTCTTTTTTTTTTTTCTTGGTTTTTCGAGACAGGGTTTCTCTGTGGCTTTGGAGGAAACTGTTTTTCTTTTAATTGACCATTTAACCAAAAGGTGTTTGGGCATCTGGAACCAAAAAAATCTAAGACAGCCTCAAAAGGTCTACCTCCTTATAACACAAAACACAAAAGGATAATCCCAGAAGTTGTGACAGGGTCTTCCCCCAGTTCTTTCCAGAGAAGACTAAGCACAGACTTTCATACAGATGACTCAGCAAACACTGGCTGGTCATGCCTGCCACTCCCAAATAAAGTGTGAAACAGATAGGACCTCTCTAGACAAGCCATCCATACCACCTGCCTCTTCTTCAGCCACAAACAAGCACTCAACCATCTGGTTGAAGGAACCATTTGTTTACTCTGTTTAATGGGAGGTAACAATGCCCCCCACCAAAGAAAGAAAACAACCCTAGATGTAATAGCTGCTCCCAGGAGACTGTAGGCAAGGCTCCCATGAGGAGCTTACAGAGGAATCATGCAGGACTCAAGTACTGGGCCCTGTTTTGTTTTGTTTTGTTTTCCCAGAAACTCTGCACCTGGGCTCCCGAGGTGGTGGGGTCCCTGGAGCAGTCATTAGGGAAGAGGCAGGAAGGAGCAAGGGAACAGGAAACAGGATCAGCTGAGGCACTCCATGCTTGCTCTGACTCGCTCCATCTCATGCAGGAAGCTGTAGAACTGAGGCAAGGTTAATTCTGGGGAGAGAAAATTCAGTTTGAGGTGAGTGCTTCCAATGCCACAGAATCATCCAGGAAAATCCATTCTACTTGCAATTACTGTATTTATGTGACAGGAAGCAGAGCCAGGGCCTTGTGTACACATTGCTCCACCCCAGGTTGACATCTATTTTCTTTGGTACATCTCAGCAGTTCTTTTTGTGGTGCTGGGACTCAAACCCCAGCCTATAGCATGCCAGACAAGGGCTCCACTGAGCTACATGCAGCTAAACGGTTCCTGATACACAAACCATTAGAATAAGGAGCCTGCCATCTTGACCATGCAAGGGCCTCAGCTCTAAAAAAACTCAAGTGTGTATACAGGAGGTGTCATGGAGGGTTTCACAGCTGACATCCTTTGCGGTGTTCAGAGATGTCCACAAGAGTTTCTTGCCCCCAATCTGCTTCCATTCTAGCCACCCCCACCCATCCTTTTGTCTTCTACTCAGGGTTTCCAGTCTCCCAACAGCTTAGTAACAGCCCGGGCACTGGGCTCTATAAGAGGGGAGGAGTAGACGGCTGCTCTAGAGCTTGGGGATAACCGTGTCTTAAGAGACATGGGCTGTGTCAGGCAGGCTTCACCAGCCTAGGTGACTGAAGAAAGAAGTGGACAGCTTCAAAACGGGGTTACAGACTCACCTATATACACATTTTCAGTTTGTTTTCCTTTCTTAACCACCAACTTTAACTAAAAGGAAAAGGGGGGAGAAAATGAAGAAAATAAATAAATTGGGTGGCACACACCTTTAATCCCAGCACTTGGGAGGCAGAAGCAGGCGGATCTCAGTGAGTTCCAGGCCAGCCAGACTGTTACACAGAGAAACCCTGTCTCAAAAAAACAAAACAAAACAAACAAACAAAAACTTTTGAGACAGGGCCTCATGAAGCCCAATACGGCCTTGAACTTTCTTCTCCTTTTTTAAAAAAATGTTATTTTTATTTCATGTGCATTGGTGTTTGTCTGCATGTCTGTCTGTCTGTCTGAGGATGCCAGATCCCCTGATACTGGAGTTACAGACAGTTGTGAGCTGCCATGTGGGTGCTGCAGATTGAACCTTAGTCCTCTGGAAGAGCAGTTAGTGCTCTTAATTGCTGAGCCATCTTTCCAGCCTCCTGGCCTTGAACTTTCAATGTTCGAACCTCCTGAGAGTGGGATTACAGGTCTGTGCCACCATACCCAGTTTTTAATAACTTTTAACCAGGTTGAAATCTTTCCCATTGCCACTTACCACAGACTTACCTGTAAAAATATGCTTCCCACTTTCTCTAATTCACTGCTTCCAGATGTCACTGTAACACAGAGAAAAGAACACTAAGTGACTGACTGAGGACTTCTAAAGAGCTCAATATAGCAGACTATCTGGAGCAGCCATGTTGGGGTGAATATGAGCCAGCAAGATGGGAACAGGGATGGAGGTGTCTAGAGGCAGCCAGCTGCCTGGCCTTCAATGGTATCTAAGATCAAGACCAGGCCTTTTCCACCCAGGATCTCTAAAAATGTCTACGGTCCAAGCCCAGCACAGCCGAACACTTGCCCAGCAATGGATCCATCTAGTTACCTCCAAATCGCCACTCCATATCAATCAGCTGGTTAATCATCAGGGTCTGACCTATGGCCCAGTGTGCAAGGGTTGAGGCATTCTGCTTCCACTGGAAGAAAAGCAAAGACCAGTGTCACCAAAGTGGAGACCATCAGTCCCTATCCCTCTGCTCCAAGCACAGCAGTGCTCTAGGCTCAACGGAGAGGGAAGAAAGCAGAAGCAAGGGCTGAATCTACATGCCTGCACATTTCCAAGACACAGCAGTGATACAGCCTTTTCACAGGGTGTCATGATGACCATGAATTTGCTATGCAGCTGAGGCTGGCCTTGAGCCCCACTCCAGTGCTGGGATTAGAGGTCTGTACCACTATGCCCAGTTTAAATTTTCCATCCCCAAATTTAATCCAATTGGAACAACAATGGCATTAATGTTTGGTCTGAGGGCTGCCCGAGCAGAGCTGGTGGACTGCTGCAGGTGTGTCATTCCTGGGAAGCTGATGGAGGAGGAATGGGATGGTTTTGTCTTGCTCAGCAATTTCCCCCCTTCCCTTTTCTTTCCTTTTCTTTTCAGGAAATAAAAGCCAGGATCTTAACCTTGATTAACAGAATTATACCTTTTCAGAAAAGTAAGTGGCTTTCTCCTCAGTAAGACCTGTAAGAGAACAGAAGGATAGTTAACATAACAAAGAGCTCAGAGGCCCTCCACTCCCCAGGCAACCTCAGGCAACCTACCTAGAGTCAGGAGATCAGCCTGCACCTGCTCGGCAGTGAGGCCCTTCTTCAGTGCACCTTGCAGGAGAGAAACCATAGTGTAAATGATGCATGGGTCAGGAAGTATTTGTTGGACCCAACACGCATGTGGCATAAGACAAAAACAATATGCTTCAGGAAGGTCTCCAGTGGCTGGGGAGAAAATGCAGCCCTGAAGCCACTATGGGGCAGGGTACACAATCTGTTCTGTGCAGTGGGGTCAGTCCCCCTCAGGGATGCTGGACTGAACTAGAGACAACAGAAAAGACTGGGCTTGGGACAGGCCAGTGGAGGGAAGAGTGAGCAAGGCTACAGCTCTGGAGCTCCACGGCAGCCTGACACAAAAGTGCGGTTAAAATTGGGGTGCAACCTTAGCTGGGCGTTGGTGGCGCACGCCTTTAATCCCAGCAGTCAGGAGGCAGAGGCAGGCAGATCTCTGAGTTCAAGGTCAGCCAGCCTGGTCTTCAGGATGGCTCTGGTCCAGGACAGTCAGGACCACACAGAGAAACTGTCTCAAACAAACAAAACAAAGCAAAAGCTGAGTGACATTAGGAGATGCAGCTCAGTTGGTTTCCCTGGAGTTATGGGTGCTGGGATAAACTTGGGTCCTCTGGAAGAGTAGCAAGGACACTCTTAACTGCCGACAATGCTCCTGCCTCAGCTTCCCCAATGTTGGATTATAGAATGTGGCCATCATGCCATTGTTCCTGTATCCATACATGTTGATCCAAGGCATGTTTCTATCACTGGGCATTGGCTTTCACAGTTCCCTCTGCTGGGAACAGTCTTCCCCAATCTGTACCAGGCTGATCCCCTACTGCATTCAGACCTCCGTGAATCTCAAACCTTTGGGAAGAACCCCTGACAATGCCACTTAAAATTGTCTTTTGGGGGTTGGAGAGGGCTCTTTCAGAGGACCTGAGTTCAGCTGACAGAACCCATGTGGGGTGACCCACAATCCCGTTACTCTGGCTCTAGTTGGATCCAATGCCTTTGGCCTGTGAGGGCATCTGCACTCATGTGCATATTCCCCTCTTCCCCCTCCAGACACACAAGCATAGACATAACTAAAAGAAAACAAGGCATTGTGAATGTGACAGTATAGCTCAGTGGTAGAGGGCTTGCCTAGCTAATAACTAAAAGAAATACACACATATACACACACAAAACAGACAAATGAACTAAACAACAATAACAAGAAAAATTAAAGTTTTTTTGTTTTGTTTTTTGAAGACAGTCTTGAGTATCCCAGGATGGCTGAACACTTGCTGTGTAGATGAGGATGTCTTTGATCTTCTGTCCCTACCTCCTGAGTGCTGGGATGAAGGGCGTTTTTTTTTTTTTTTTTTCCGAGACAGGGTTTCTCTGTGTTGTTTTTGGAGGCTGTCCTGGAACTCGCTATGTAGACCAAGCTGGCCTCGAACTCACAGAGATCCGCCTGCCTCTGCCTCCTGACTGCTGGGATTAAAGGCGTGCGCCACCAACGCCTGGCCAGGCATTTTTTTTTATGTGAAGGTGGTAGAATCATGGATTGTGATCCACATTTCATCATCATCATTATTATTGACAGGTTCTCACTACGTAGCCCTGGCTAACCTAAAACTTACTACTAGACCAGGCTAGCCTGAAACTCACAGATCCACCAGCCTCTGCCTCCTGAGTGCTGGGATTAAAGGTGTGCACCACCACTGCCCAGCTTCCTCCCTTCTTTCTTTCTCTTTCTCTCTTGTACATGCACACATATGGCTATGGTTTTGAGAGTCTTATGTAGCCTAGGCTAGCCCCAAACCTGCTATGTAGATTGGAATGACCCTAAACTGATCCTTCTGCATCCACTCGGTAGGATTAAAGGTATCAGCACCATTCTTGTATTTTTTTTTCTATTATAAATACAAATGTTACTTTGTGTTGTTTAGGGCCAACAAACACAATATTTAAGTAGCTTATAGATGAGAGGGACCCCAGGAGCAAGCAGTTGTTTGTGCTTTAGGCCATCCTGATGGGCTGTCTTGGTGAGTAGTACCAGGCCATGGATGCCCTATCAGGGACTGACACAGCACGCTAAGCTTTAGGGACCAAAGAGCAGGCTACAGTTACCTTTGGTAGGCAGGAGAGGTGGCTTCCTAAGTCCTCCAGGGCTTCTTTTTCAGCTATTTCTTTTGGTGATTCCTAAACCAATGCCAGCCTAGTAGTCAGGGGACAAGCCTGTGGTGGTCCTCTGTATGAAGGCTTGGTGAAAACACCTAGCAGGGTAGGAAGTAATCATGGCTGGAACCAGTCACCTGGAGGCTGGTCAGCTGAATCCACCCTGTGAGACCCAGGGGACAGCAAGGTGGCAGTCACTATACACTGACAGAATACCTGCTGTGTGCCAGCACCATGCTAAGACACTGAGAGACATTACTAGTCACAAAGACAATAATGTCTGCCCTAGTGAGGCTTGTATTCTACTGAGAGACAGATCACACAAGTAATATAAGAAGCATGAGAGGTCAATGTGCCAGAGAAAAGCAGGAAGAGTTGGCAGCCCTGGGACCAAAGGCCAACTTCAGTCATTTGTAGGAAAATAGCACTCTCATGCCTTAGGAATGTGGAAAGTTTTGTGTGCTCGTTTCCCTCTTGTAAGGACAAGAAAGAAAGTGCATGTGCATATGCATGCATGCACGCTGGGGAGTAGGAATGGCAAACTACCTTTAATAAAAAATACAAGTCAGCCAGGCGTTGGTGGCGCACGCCTTTAATCCCAGCACTCGGGAGGCAGAGGCAGGCGGATCTCTGTGAGTTCGAGGCCAGCCTGGTCTACAGAGTGAGTTCCAGGACAGCCTCCAAAGCCACAGAGAAACCCTGTCTCGAAAAACCAAAAAAAAAAAAAAAAAAAGAGAGAGAGAAAAGAACAACCTACTGTCAGAGGCAACTGCTGAGCAGTCTACTTTACGATCTTGTCTTTACACTGATTATTATCCCTTTAAAGTTTATTTGTTTGATAGTGGGGGCACATTCCACAGCATGCCCATGGAGGTCAGAGGACAACTTGGGCAAGCTCTTTCCTTCCAGCTTGTGCATCCAAGGGATCAAACTCAGGTTGTCAGGCTTGATGGCAAGCACCTTTACCTGATTCCATTTCATCAGCCTCTGTACCTTTTATTTTGTGTGCTCATCAACTGTAGCTTCCAGTTTTATTTGTTGTATAAACTAGTGAGTTTATGAATTCTAGACCACATTACAAGACCATCTCAAAAAGAAAACAAAATACAAAACCAAAGCTGAACTTGGAAGTGAAAGCAGAATATGACTTACTAAGTAAGACTTTGTTAAGATTCTAGCCAGGCAGTGGTGGCGCATGCCTTTAATCCCAGCACTCGGGAGGCAGAGGCAGGCGGATCTCTGTGAGTTCGAGACCATCGTGGTCTACAAAAGCTAGTTCCAGGACAGCCTCCAAAGCCACAGAGAAACCCTGTCTCGAAAAACAAACAAACAAACAAAAACAAAACAAAACAAAAAAAAAAAGTCAGTAGCGGATCACCCCCCAAGGACAGACAGCTTGCTAGGGCTAAGCAGTGGTTTAAGTAAGTCCCTGGACAAGTCCATGTAGACCTGGAAGGGCAGCTGCCCCTCAACTTTTGCCTATTATCTTTTTCCACGCACTTGGTTTTGTTTCCTCTGGTGCTGGAGACTACACCCAGGGCCGTGAGCACTCCAGGCAGGTGCTCTGCCTCTGAGCTTATCTTTCTCCACCCTTCCAACAGGGAACTCCAGCAGCCCCCTCAGCTCTGTTTCATCCCCTAAGAAGGTGATTATCAGAGGTGAAGAACTTGGACCAAGGTCTCCATAGGGAGCAAGCAAGGAGTGCAGAAGGCCCCACCCACCAGTAACCAAACGACAGCAGGCTAGGGCCCTATCTGGAGCCTGCTGAGTGGGAGAACAATGGCCATAGGGGACAAAAGGCAGCAGACAATGAGGAACCACAAGCAAGGGCTGCAAGATTTCCTTTCGGATAGGATAATGGTGTGCTTATCTTTCACAGGTAGATAACTAGGCATTCCGGAATGAAATCCTTGTGTGCTGTTTGCTTTAAACAGATCTAGTCTGGAGAGCAGTGAGAAGCAAAGGGCAGGTGAAATAACTCAGGGAAGGGTTGGTAGTGTTCCAGTGGGATGTTTAAAGAACTATGTAAAAGGCAGGTATGGTGGTGCAAACCTTTAACGGAGTATTCGGGATGCTGCGGCAGGCAGGTCTCTAAGTTCCATACCAGCCTGGTCTACATAGCAAGTTCTAGGTCAGGCAAAGGCTACCTATCTCAAAAAAAACAAAAAACAAAAAACAAAACAAAACAAAAACCAAACCAACCAAACAAAAAAAACCTCACACGCTGATGTGGTGTAATTCCAGTACTCAGGTAGCTGAGGCAGGAGACTTGTGAGTTAGATGACAGTCTGTATTACACATTTAAATCCTGTCTCAAAAGAGGAAATGACTCAGAAGGCAGAGGCAGGTGGATCTCTTTGAGTTCGAGTACAGCCTGCTCTCAATAGTGAGGTCCAGAACAGCCAGGGCTACATAGTGAGAGGGCTTGTCTCAAAAACAAACAACCAAAAAGCAAAAAAGTAATCACTTCTGCAAAGCTTTCCCCTGACATCCTCTCTACCCCCACCGCTTTGCTTGAGTGGTTAACTATTTCACAGATACTGGGTTTCTTTATTGCAGGATTTGTATGTGGTTCTAAGGCTGGTTGGCACTGGTGGTGCAGGAAGACCTTCTGGCTGCAGGAAGTGACCCAGTGGATTCCTGAGGTCCTTTCAGCTCTAACAGGCCACATTACAACTAGTTTAATGGCAGAAAGATGTGGACTGCTGTCTTTTTTTTTTTTTTTTTTTTTTTTTTTTGCCTTTGTTTTGAGATAGAGAGTAATGCTAGGTAGCACAGGCTGGCTTCAAACTTGTGATCTTCTTGCCTCAGCCACAGATTGTATTGGAATTACACACATGAGGCACACGGCAGTCCTTGTATTTTTATTTTTAATCTACCATAAAAATACCTTAGACTGGCCGGGCATTGGTGGCGCACACCTTTAATCCCAGCACTCGGGAGGCAGAGGCAGGCGGATCTCTGTGAGTTCAAGACCAGCCTGGACTACCAAGTGAGTTCCAGGACAGCCTCCAAAGCCACAGAGAAACCCTGTCTCGTAAAACCAAAAGAAAAAAAAACCTTAGACTGAGGCGGTGGCGGTGGCGCATGCCTTTAGTCCTAGCAACACTGGTGAGCCCGGCTTTGAGCTGTGTGGCTCTCTGCTTTGTCAGCAAGTTGCACCTGGGCATCCTCTAGGCACTAGTTCACAGGCCTCTTAGAATACTACAGTCCCTGAGAGAAAATGATACAGCACTGGCACACAGCCCATGTATACTGCATACTTTAACTATCTCTCAGTCCCTTATACTCCCTAACATATGGTAAATACATGTAAATGCTAGTCATACCACAAAGCATGTCTGTCCTTGTTGCATACAGACCTGATTTTTAAAAATGTTTAAGGTGGGCTGGAGAGATGGCCCAGCAGTAAGAACACTGGCTGCTTTTACAGAGGTCCTGGGTTCAATTCCTAGCACCCACATGGCAGCTCACAACTGCTTGGAATTCCGTTTCCAGGGGATCTGACACCTTTACACCAATACACATAAAATAAAGTTAAATAAATTATCTTTAAAAAAATGTTTAAGGGGGGCTAGAGAGATGGTTCAGGGGCTAAGAGCAGTGACTGTTCCTCCAGATGTCCTGATTTCATCTATAATGAGATCTGGTGCCTTCTTCTGGTATATAAGAAGAACACTGTATACATAGTAAATAAATAAATCTTTCTTTTTTTTTTTTTTTTTTTTTTTTTGGTTTTTCGAGACAGGGTTTCTCTGTGACTTTGGAGGCTGTCCTGGAACTCGCTCTGTAGACCAGGCTGGCCTCGAACTCACAGAGATCCGCCTGCCTCTGCCTCCCGAGTGCTGGGATTAAAGGCGTGTGCCACCAACGCCCGGCATAAATCTTAAAAATATACATTAAAGCTGGCCATTGGTGGCACATGCCTTTAATCCCAGCACTTGGGAGGCAGAGGCAGGCCGATCTCTGTGAGTTCCAGGACAGCCTCCAAAACAGAGAAACCCTGTCTCAAACCTCCCCCAAAAAAACATTAAAAATAAAAAAAATGTTAAGGCATACACTCTGCTCTTGGACAGCATCCCCTGCCATGTCTGGCTCTTTGCTGGATGCTGCTTGGATGGCTCCCTAACTAAAGGAAGGCTCAGGAAGCAGTAGCATCTCATCTCTGTGGAGATGCTAAGAGTCAACTCACCATTCGGAACCAGAAGGAGGCTTTTCATGATGCTTTTGAGGGGGCCAAGACTGATCTGATTGGTGGTGGCAAATTCGGAGAGCTGGGCCAGAAAGCGCTCCACCTGCAGAGGGGACAACACAAACACACCTTTACTCACCTTTTAAAAGATGCTTATTTATGTGCATGAGTATTCACCTGCATGTATGTTGCATGGGGTCCAAGAAACAAGAATCACAGAGGGTTGTGAGCTACCACGTGGATTCTGGGAACTGAATCCAGGTCCTTTGTAAGAGCAGCCAGTACCCAGACATTCTTCTCTAAGTTCTCAGGCGTTTAGATCCATGTTGGCAAAACCTCCTTAGCACAAAACACCTTACTCACCTCCTTCGGCTCAGTTAGGAAACGGAAAAGCACTTCTGTCAGGGCTGAGAACTGCTGCAAAAGGACAACACAGAGCATCAGCACCACTTCTGCTCCCAGATGCCCAACACCCAGTGTGCCCTCCGCACCCAGTGTGCCCTCCACACCCAGTGTGCCCTCTGCACCCAGTGTGCCCACGCCAACTAGTGTGCCCAACACCCAGTGTGCCCTCCGCACCCAGTGTGCCCTCCACACCCAGTGTGCCCACCGCACCCAGTGTGCCACACACTATCCAACTGCAGGCTTTTGACACAGGAGAATGGAACCAGTTAGGCTGATGATCCATATTTACTTACTATTTTATTAATTCTTGGAGGGTTTTTTTTTTTTTTTTGGGTTTCTCAAGACAGGGTTTTCTGTGTAGCCTTGGCTGCCCTGGAACTCACTCTGTAAACCAGGCTGGCCTCGAACTCACAGAGATCCACCTGCCTCTGCCTGCCAAGTGCTGGGATTAAAGGCGTGCGCCACCAATGCTTGGCTTCAGAGGACAACTTTTAAATAGTGGTTCTCACTTTCTGATTTGTTGAGGCAGGGTCTCTCTTTTTTATTTTTGAGACAGGGTCTCACTGTGTATTCCTGACCAGCCTGAAGCTCTATATGTAGACCAAGCTGGCCTTGAACTCACAGAGACCTGCTTACCTCTACCTCCTGAGTGTCGGGATTAAAGACCAAATGTTTAAAGGTAGTGTATGTGGGAGAGACCCGGAAAATATAGGAAGGCAAAACAGATGAAAAGAGAAATTCTTTGATGTCTTCACCTAAGTTGTTACTGTTGGTGGTTTGGTTCTGGGTTTTGTTGTCGCTTTGAGAGAAGGTGTCACTGTGTAGTACTAGTTTGTGCACCAAGGCCAGCCTGGATCTACATAGTGAGTTCCTGGCCAGTCAGGGCTCCACAGCGAGACCCTGTCTGAAAATACACAAAAATAACAATAAAATAAATAAAGGTATATAGCAGGGTGTTGGTGGCACTCACCTTTAATCTAGCACTTGGAAGGCAGAGGCAGGTGAATCTCTGAGCTCCAGACTAGCCTGGTCTACAAGAGTGAGTTCTAGGAGAGCCAGGGATACACAGAAACCCTGTTTCAAAACCAACCAAACCAAAAAAAAAAAAATCAAAAATCAAATCAAATGAATACATAAATAAATGTGTGAGCCACAATGACCACCTTTGAGGCAGGCAGGATCTGTCTCTCTCGTTTCTTCCGCTGAGACTGTACATTCCTGGGGGGGGGGGTATCACAAGCCTATGTTTTGCAACCCTGATAAGAAACACAGACTTTCTTAGCATTTCTTGATATAGCCTTTTGTCTTCACAGCATCTTAAGTCTTGTTAAGTGCACAGGAAGTATTTGTTGTGTAAGTCTTCTTCCATGGCTGCCTTACCCAGGATTGCTCATTAACTATCTCTACCTATCAAAATCTCAACTCTTATCAAAAGTAAACATCGGAAGAGATGCTTAATGTTAGGGAAATGCTAGCCAGTGAAAGGAGATACCCCTTCATTTACCAAATCTGCAAGGTCTGGGGACACAAGCTGCACACTGATGGCTCTGGGGATAACTGGACAACCTTCCTAGAGGACGATGTCATACCATACATCCAATTTTAATGACAACCACAGCCCTAGAACCATGAATTCCCCTGAAAAGAGCATGTGCTTCATATCTGTTCCATCCATGCTTGTAAAGAGCTTTTTCCCTGGAAAGTATTGTTCATATGAACAAATAATAGAAATTCAGCCACACAAGGTGGTGAACTCCTGCAATGGCACCCAGCACTTGGGGAGGCAGAGGCAGGAGGATCACTAGCAAGTTCTAGGCCAGCTAGACTAGAGTGGGACCTTGTTCAAGGAACAAACAAACCAGCCATAACTTCCACTCAGGAGGCTGAGGCAGGAGATCATGAATTTGAGGTTAGTATAGGCTACATAGTTAATTGGTTTAATTTAAAAAAATGAAAAAAGAAAAAGAAAACAAAACAAACAATGCCAGTCAGTAGTGGCACACGCATTTAATCCCAGCACTGGGGAGGCAGAGGCAGGAGGATCTTTATGAGTTTGAGACCAGCCTGGTCCACAGATTCAGTTCCAGGATAGCCAGGACTGTTACACAGAGAACCCTTGTCTCGAAAAACAAACAAAAACAACAACAAAAAAAAACAACAAAAATTTTTGTTAAAAGAGTTGTTTGTTTGCTTTTAAAGAGCTGGACCTGTTGGCACAGGTATATAATCTCAGCTATTCAGGAGGCAGAGGAAGGAGGATTCTAAATTCAAGGCCAGCTTGGGCAACTCACTGAGAGTCAGACTCAAACAAACAAGGTCAGACACAGTGGCGCATCCTAGAGTCCTAGCTCTGGAAAGCAGAGGTCAGGCTTACAAAGCCCTTGTCTAAAAATAAAAGAAAAACACAACATCAAACCACCACACAGAACTAAGTGCTGATGAATAGATATTTGAGCATGGTGACACACCTGTGATCCCAACACTTGGGGAAACTAAGGCAGGAAGAGCTTGAATTTGAGGACAGTCAGGGGACAGAAAGACCCTGTCTCAGGTGAGACAGAAAAAGAAAAAGAAAGAGTGAATCTTGGGGCTGCAAGATGGCTCAGCTGGCAAAGGCACTTGCTGCCAAGTCTGATGGCCTGAGTTCAAACCCTGGAACCTGCACAGCATCAAAGCACCAAAGCCAACTCCCATAGGCTATTCTACATCTTTCAAGAGTAACGCTTCCGCAGTACAATGTTCCCCCTCTACAAGATTTCCCGAGAACAGTGTTAACAGCAAAAATAGTGACCTCCCTTTGAAGTCACACACCTGGTTCTGAATTCCTCCTTCCAGACTTGGAATTTTTCCACCTCAGCCTGTCAAGTGGTGGCATGATAGGCATGTACTACCAACAGATCTTACTTTTGCTATTTATTTGTTTATTTTGAAGCAGGGTCTCTATATGTAGCTTTAGCTGGCCTGAAACTCATTGGTTTTGAATTTGCAGAGATGGACTTGCCTTGGCCTGCAGAATGCTGGGATTAAAGGTGAGCACACTACTCCGCCCTGCATAGTTTGGTTTTTATTCCTCAAGCAAGGTGTGGGGAGTTGAGGGCCTCAGCACCTGGGAAACTAAGACCCAGTCAGGGAAACAACATGTAGTACATTTAGAGGGATGAAGGGTTACATACTTATCTATTTTGCTTTTTTTTTTTTTTTTTTGGTTTTTCGAGACAGGGTTTCTCTGTGGCTTTGGAAGCTGTGCTGGAACTAGCTCTTATAGACCAGGCTGGTCTCGAACTCACAAAGATCGGCCTGTCTCTGCCTCCCGAGTGCTGGGATTAAAGGCGTGCGCCACCAACGCCCGGTATCTATTTTGCTTTTCTTGACAGGAGGTGTCATGTAGTTCAGACTGGCCTTGAACAAGATAGTTAGTGAAAGTTGGATCTGAGCTCCTGCTGTCACCTCCCAAGTGCTGGTATTAACAAGGACCACTGTAACCCGTTTATTCTGGCTGGAGCACAGGGTGACCCCAGACGCCCTGACTTGGCTAATTCTCCCAGTCTGAACAGGAGGTGGCATTCCGAGCCCTACAACAGGGACAGGCGTGCACCATGCCTTTCCGGGACTGGAAAGGGGTGTGGTCACAGGTCCGGTCTGAACCTCTTCCGGCTCAGGCCCAGAGCTCCATTCAGGCCTGGCCACACTGACACTCACACCCGGCTTGCAGTCGACCTGCCCTCCCTAATCTGTCCAGCCTGGAGCCCCTCGGAATCCCCTCATTCCCATCTCTTGAAGCCTACAATTCTGTTCCTCAAGGGGTCCCCACCTCCGTTGTGAGCCGGCCCACTCCTGAGCCCCTCCCATGCCCAGGAGAGGCCCACCTGCGCGCCCAGCTGGTTCAGTTGCTGCATGTCGCCGCGCACGGCCTCTGGCACGGGGTCCTGGGTGCAGTGCAGGCGACCCATGGCGCCAGGAGCCTGGCCGCCCCGCAGCGGCACTCGCTTCCTCCTTCCCGGCCTCGCTGCGCTTCCGCAGCCGCACTTTCGCCACACTCCCAGCCGCCGTTCTCGGGGTAGCGCGCACGCGCGGCCGCTGGGCTCCGGGAATCGCTCTGAGCATCCCACTAGAATTCCAGGTCTGCCCTGGTGACCCTGGGTAAAGCGCTTGACCCTTCTGAGTCTCAGTTTCATTGTATAATGTTATCTGGGATAACTACTGGGGTTTTCATCCTCCCAAAACATTGAGCTCAGAGCTTGGTATTCCTTAGTCAGTGACTGTTCCTGTCCTTATCACCATTGCTGTTAATCACTGGGTAAATGTATCTATTAAGTATATCTACCATTTCTCTCTCCTCTATACATTTGGTTCTGGGGATTGGTCCTGGGTCTTGCATAGGCTTGGCAAGGGCTCTGCCTCTGAGCTACATCAACAAACCCCAGCAAATACTGCGTGGCTGCCAGAGCTGGTAACAGAGGAAGGTATAATCCATCGTAACCCTATGAGAGCTCATATCAGAGGGAAGTAGTAGATCGGAAACTTGGACAGGCATTAGTGTCATCTGGACAATTTGGCATAACTACTAATTGCTGGGCCCCACCCCCAGGAGCCACACTTTGAGGGCCCCTGATCCAGCTAAGGACTGTTAAAGAGCCTGGGCAGTATGGTAGTCACAGGGTGAGACAGTGAAACTTACTTCAGCTAATGGGACTGGGGTCAAACTCAGCACTTTCCCCGCATGTTCACGTTCAGAACTCAATCCCTGGCAGGGTGGGAAGACCCAAGTCTGTGTTCTCTTAGTCCCAGAAGCTCTCCAGCCCCTGGGTGAGTGCTGACGTCATCCTCATTAGACAGGAGAAAATGGAGGTGTACTCCCCTGACCTAAGCAAGGACTGCATCTGGCACGGAGTCTAGCCTGAGCGTACCCAGGAGCTGCATATAGACCTGGGGGTAGAATTGCTGTCCTGGCACAGGTTTTGGCTCCCACACTTCTCTGAAAGTCCCTTTGGAAATGTTGACAAGTCTTCTGCCCAGAGGCGAAGCATATCCAGGAGCAGTCAACTCACAGGGCACATGAGGCCAAGGACAACTATAAATTCTCCCAACACAAAACTATAAGGTTACTTAAAACATGGAACTGGGGCCAGGGCAATAGTAGCTCTGGCCTTTAATCCCTGCCGTTGGGAGGCAGAGGCAGGAGGATCTCTGTGAGTTCAAGACCAGCCTGGTTTACAGAGAGAGTTTCAGGACAGGCTCCAAAGCTATAGAGAGGAACCCTGTCTGGAAAAAAAAAAACAAAAGCAAAGCATGGAACTGGGCATGGTGGCACACTCCTTTAATCCCAGCATTCAAAGAGGCAAAGGTAGGAGGATCACTGTAAATCTGAGGCTAGCCTGGTCTACACAGTGCGTTCCAGGCCAGCCAGAATGACATAGAGACCTCAAAACAACAACAAAATTTATAAGCTTTTTGTTTTGTGTTTTGAGACAAGGTTTCTCTGTGTAACAGTCCTAACTATCCTGGAACTCACTTTGTAGACCAGGCTGGCCTCAAACTCACTGAGATCCCCTGCCTCTGTCTTCAGAGCAGTGGGATTAAAGGCATGGCCACCACTGCCCGGTTTCTTTCTTTCTTTTTTTTTTTTTTTTTGTAGTTTTCTTTGGTAATTTAATCGCACACTTTTCAAGCTTCAAGTGTGAACTTGTAGATGACAATGTCCTGTGGCGATGTCAAAAGGTGAACATCCCTGCGAGTTAGCCCACCTGTCCTTTGTCCTTGCCCTTTGCCTGCCCCTGCACCCAAGATCTAGCCATGTAGCCGCCTGAAACTGTGGACCAGGGGCCAGGCTAGCCTCAGAGTTTGCAGTGGCGCCTCCTGTCTCCACCTCTTAAATGCAGGGATTACAGGCCACCATGCCAGGTTTATGAGGAACTGTGTGTGGGTTTAAGGCCCCATTCTTGCTAGGTGAGCACCCTACCTATGGCGCTCCACCCCACATTAGTGTTTATGTGGTGCACTTTAAGTAACTGAATGCACAACATGTGTGAAGATATAATTCACATTGTTGCCTACTGGCCCCTCCTACCATTTCTTTTCTAACTTTTGTGGTCCCAGGAACAGAGCGTTGTTTCCATTTTAATGTTCATCACATTCTCGTCATTTTCACATTTTTTATTTTGTTTTTGAGACAAAATTATTGTCTGGTGAGATGGCTTAGTGGGTAAAGATGCTGCTAAGCCTGAGGACCTGAGCTTAATTCTTGGGATACACAAGTATCAAGAGAAAACCAATTTCACAAGTTATTCTCTGATCTTCACACACAGATGTCAATAAATAAATGCATGCTGGGTGGTGGTAATGGTGCATGCATTTAATCTCAGTCCTCAGCAAGCAGAGACAGGTGGATCTCTCTGGATTCTAGGCCATCCAGGTCTAGGACAGTTCCAGGACAGGCTCCAAAGCTACAGAGGAACCTTATACTGAAAACAAACAAACAAACAAATAAATAAATAAATAAATAAATAAATAAATAAATAAATAAATGAGGTAAGTGACAGGCTGACCTTGGTCTTTTTTCTTTTCTTTTTTAAGATTTATTTATTTATTTAACATACAATATTCTGCCTGCATGTATGTCTGCAGGCCCGAAGAGGGCACCAGGTCTCATTACAGATGGTTGTGAGCCACCATGTGGTTGCTGGGAATTGAACTCAGGACCTCTGGAATAGCAGTTGGTGCTCTTAACCTCTGAGCCATCTCTCCAGCCCTGTCTTTTTTCTTTTGTATCTGAATATTAGTATATTTTTACATGAAGAGTCATAGTAAAATCACACTTCAGTTTAATATCACTGACCTTGCTCTTACTGTGCTACTAAGGCTGGCTTTGGACTCCTGATTTTCTGGCCTTTGTGTCCCTGAGTGCTCTGATTATAGGTAAATGCTGCTATACTTAGTCTTTATTTTAATTTTTGATTTGTCTTATTTTATAAGTGTGAGTATTCTCTCGTGTGTATGTATTTCACCACTTTGTGTATCTGGTGCTTGCCGAAGTCAGAAGAGGGCATCGGATTCCATGAAACTAGAGTTATTGGTGGGAGATAGGGATGGTTGAGAACCATCATGTAAATGCTAGGAACTAACCCAGGACCTTTGTAAGAACAAGTGCTTTTAGCTGCTGAACTTTCTCTCTAGTCCTTTTAGCTGCTAAGCTATTTCTCTAGTCCTTATTTTATTTTTTATATTTAGACTCACAACCTAGCCCTGACTAGTCTGGCATTCAATAGTCTGATCGAAGAGGACCCATCCTCCAGACTGTTGACATTGTAGATATGAAGCACCACTCCTGTCTCTGTCTCCAGAGTGCTGATAGTACTGGCTTATACCACCATACCTAACTTTCCTTTCTTTATTGAGAAACTTCCTGGGGGCTGGAGAGATAACTCAGAGGTTAAGAGGACCTGAGTTCAGTTCCCAGCAACCACATGGTAGCACACAACCATCTGTAGTGAGATCTAATGCCCTCTTCTGCTGTGCAGGCATACATGCAGATAGAGCACTCATATACATTAAAAAACAAAACACAAACAACAACAACAAAAACCCTCAGCCCTTGGGTGGCAGAGGCAGGCTGATCTCTGTGAATTCTAGGCCAGCCTGGTCTTCAAAGCAAGTTCCAGGCTAGCTGGGACTACACAGAGAAACCTTGTTTATAAAAATAGATAGATAGATAGATAGATAGATAGATAGATAGATAGATAGATAGATAGGAGGGGATGAGAACAATTGAGAGCACTGGCTGCTCTTGCAGAGGATCTGAGTTCAATTCCCAGCACTCACATGGCAGCTCACAACTGTCTGTAACTCCAAGATCTGACACTCTCACACAGACAGGCAGGCAAAACATCAAAGCACTTGAAATAAAAATTTAAAAAAAGAAAAGAAAAACTAAAAAAAAGTAAGAACTTCATAACTCACAGAAACAACACAGTAAGCTCTCTTCTTACTTCCTAAGCTTTTTGTGGTGATTTTGGTCTGAAAATATTAAGTGGAAATTTTCAGAAAAATACCAATTCATAAGGTTTAAATTGCACATCTTTCTGAGTAATGATCATTTATTTGCCAACTCACTCTATCTTACCCTATGTTGGGTGTATCCACATTTTATATGTTACTCATCCCTCAGTCATAGTTTTACCTTTCTTGCTTTTTCAGCTAAGTCTTAGTTTGTGGCCCTGAATGGCTTGGAGCTCATTACATACAGGCTAACTTTGAATGTATAGCAATCCTCCTGTCTTTGCTTCCCAAGTGCTGGGATTACAGGAATATTGGACCACACCTGAACATAACCTTCTTGTTTATAGAAGGATTACCCTGTGTTGTTGTAGCTACAGTCAAGTTTTATAATGGCCCCAAAGCACGTCCACAGGGTGATGCTGGCAATATGGTTATGCCAGACAAAAGCTATAAAGAGCCTCCTTGAAATAAAAGGTGAAAGTTCTTGATGTAATAAAGAAAGAAAACAATCGGGCATAGTGACACATGCCTTTTTTTTTTTTTTTTTTTTTTTTTTGGTTTTTCGAGACAAGGTTTCTCTGTGGCTTTGGAGGCTGTCCTGGAACTCACTTTGTAGACCAGCCTGGCCTCGAACTCACAGAGATCCGCCTGCCTCTGCCTCCCGAGTGCTGGGATTAAAGGCGTGTGCCACCAACGCCCGGCGTGACACATGCCTTTAACGTCAGCACTCAAGAGGCAGAGGTGCAGGGCGTTGGCACGCCTTTAATCCCAGCACTCGGGAGGCAGAGGCAGGCAGATCTCTGTGAGTTCGAGACCAGCCTGGACTACCAAACGAGTTCCAGGACAGCCTCCAAAACCACAGAGAAACCCTGTCTCGAAAAAAACCAAAAAAAAAAAAGAGGCAGAGGTAAACAGATTTCTGAGTTTGAGGCTAATCTTGTCTACAGAGTGAGTTCCAGGACAGCCAGACCTACACAGCAAGACCCTTTCTCCCTTTCTTTTCTTTTTTTTTTTTTTTTTTTTTTTTTTTTTGGTTTTTCA